TACAAAATCTAGAGCCACAAAGAAAATCATTTCTTAGACTCAACTTCATAAAAATTAAAGACTTTGTTTAAAAAAAAAAAAAGTTTTGAATGAGAAAAAGAACAAGAAGTTAAAAGATATATGCTTGAAATAAGTAAAATATTTACATAATCTATGATAAAGGATAATCAAAATATTTTTCAAACTACTACAAATCAATAAGAAAAAGAGTTAAGAAAGGACATGATCAGATAATGCACAAAAAACAATAAATAAATGAATATAAACAAATCTGAAAAACTCAACTTAATTTTTTTATCCATCAGATTTACACACAAAAGAGTGAACACATTAATAGTATCCATTATTGACAAGACTGTGGAGAACAGGCACCTTTACACACCTCTGGTGAGTATACTATTGGGTACAATGTTCCTAGATCTAAATCAGCAATATCTTAAAAATTTCTTTAAGAAGTACATTTCCCAGCTATTGCACTACTGGATATTTACTCCAAAGATACAAATGTAGTGACCCAAAGGGGCACCTGCACCCCAATGTTTATAGCAGCAATGTCCACAATAGCCAAACTATGGAAAGAGCCAAGATGTCCATCAGCAGATGAATGGAGAAAGATGTGGTGTATATACAACAGAATATTACTCAGCCATCAGAAAGGATGAAACCTTACCATTTACATCAATGTGGATGGAACATAGGCCTATGTAAAGTCACACAGAAAGATCTCCAGGAGCTATTATTTAGGGAAAATCAAGTTGCAGAAAAATATGTCTTGTGTGATACCATTTACATAAAAACTAATAATAAATACTACCTTGTATTTGTACACATACACAGGATGGTATATATAATAATATATTGTAACACAATACAATACATTATTATATACATACAATATATAATACAGTTGACCCTTGAACAACATGGGCTTGAGCTGTGCTGGTTCACTTACTTATATATGATTTTTTTTTTAATAAATACAGTACTATATATGTATTTTCTCTTCCTTGTGATTTTCTTAGCATTGTCTTTTCCCCACCTTACTTTATTGTAAGAATAACACACAAAACATAAAAAATATGTGTTAATCAACTATTTATGTTATCCGTAAGGCTTCTAGTCAACAGGAGGCTATTGGTAGTTAAGTTCTTGAGAGTGAAAAGTTATACATGATTTTTCAACTGCGTGCCCCTATCCCCCATGTTGTTCAAGGGTCAACTGTATATTATAATATAAATTATGAGAAGATATACACAAGTGTTAATAATGGCTATTTCTTAGGAGAGGAACCGATCTGAAGGGGAAGTGAACAAAAGGAATATTCACTTTTTTGCACTACATGCTTCCTCATTTGCAATTTTCATGAAAGTGCATTAATCTATTTACTTGTGTAGTTTAAACAAGATGAATATGGCTTTGTTTCTGGATGAATAGAGGGAAGCTGAGGAGGAAGAGTATGCAGAAGGAAAGGGAAGACAAACAGGTAAGATGTAGTCATCACACAAAAGTCTCACTTTGTATTTTCCTTGCCAATTTTGGAACCACAATGTAGAAATTGGGCTCTGGAAAAAATCAGAACCTTAAATGAAGGATTAAGTTACAAAGCCATCTGATTCTGGTGGCCAAATCAGGGTGAACAGCCCAGAAGAGAATAGTTAGGAGCAGTAGAAGAGCCTAATCAGGCTCACCGGCTACAATGCCAACCTCCAGAGAGATCTCCCCCAGGCTTTGAAAATCCTTTCACTCCCCATGGTAATTCCTCCTCCAAATCCCCAAGTTACTGACTCCCAGCAGGGCCTCGCCATCAGTGAAAGCTAGGAGTCCAAAGCAAAGTGCAATTGGACTATTAATTAGTATGATATCAAATTCTATAAGGAGAAATTTATTTAACCATCATGGCAAAATGGTAAAAGAGCAGTCTTCCACAAAACAGCTTAAGTCTCAGATCATTTTTGGAAAAAATTATTTAGATCTAGATCACTTTGGTCTGAAATTCTCTAATATCACAACTCATTGACCAAAATATGATTCATTCAAAGGCTTTTTGAAAAAAATGTGCTCTTTCATTTTCTCTCTTCCTTAACTCCAATTCCATAAAACTGTACAGCAATAAAGCAAAGGCTTAACCTGATAGTAGAAAGCCCTGTTGTTTGCTGTAAAGACATAAAGACTAAGATTATTATGCCTTTATCAAAGTGAAATGGATTTAGACTAATGTAAAAGACAGCATGACAAGCTTTATTATAATGCAATTGTTTACATGTCAAAGCAAAAATAGAATGATAAAACAGCTTTGGAAGAGGCTAGGTAGTCTTTTTTTTTTATTTTTTT